ATCGTTGCTGTATTTCCCCGCTCGGCCTTCATTTGCACTATGTCCAACCGGGCCGTGAACTCGCGTTTGGTTTTGTCAATTGCTGCGCAGGTCCTCATTATCTCTTCCTGGAGTTTATCTGTCCGCTCGCAGAGGGACACTTCAATCTGCTCAGTTATTTCTGACCGGAGAGTCTGTTTGTCATGTTCGAAGATCGCAAAAATATTTTCAATTCTATGTTGGATTGTCTCATTCAACTCTGACCGCATAGATCGCATTTCTGCCTTCATTTCTTCCTTGTCTGCAGCCGCCTTTTCTTGGTTAGCGTCTAATTTGGCCATTAACTCGTCTTTATCAGTTTTTCTATCGGCCGACGCCTTTACTTGACAGGAGTCTAGTTTCGCCAGGAAATCCTCTTTGTCTTTCCTCCTATTGGCCTCCATTTCTTCTTTCTCCTTCCTCCTCTCTTCCTTCTCTTTCCTCCTCTTTTCCTCCATCTCTTCTTTGTCAGCCTTCCTATCGGCCTTCATCTCTTTCAGCATTTCAAGTATTAGCTGAATGTCTTGCTCCTCCATTTCCTTTTTTTCGTAAATTCAATACTTCTTCCTAAATCAATGCGTGTTTAAGCTCGTAAAATTCTGACACCAAATTGTCACGTGTCTTGAGTTCGAATCTCGTTGATCACGTGTGTAAGTCCTAATCCCGTCGGTCACGTGTGTAAGTTCGTATCCCACTTCTGACACCAGTGTAACGTGTTTACATTACTGAAGACGCCGTAGAGATGGTTAATTGGTTTATTTAACAATCTACAAATAACATAACTCGTATACTTGTAAATAATGAATATTCACCATATACGAGAAATCACAATACGAAACCACCTAACAACAACACACCACAGAAGAAAAAATGGACCAAATTTACATACTTCGGCCCCAGCATTAGAAGAATCACTAAGCTATTTCGAAATACCAATATAAAAATAGCTTTCAAAACAAATAATACAATAAAAAAGCTTCTAAGAACAAAACATGAAACAACGGATAAATACAACCTTTGTGGAGTATACCAGATGACGTGTAAAGATTGTGACCTAAAATACGTCGGCCAAACAGGACGTAACTTCAGAACAAGATACAAAGAACACATCAGGGAAATAAAAACGAATGGGCAGAAATCAAAATTCGCCCAACACATACTCGACACAATGCACAATTACCACACCATAGACAAAGCAATGGAAATACTCCACATAGAAAAGAAAGGGAAAATGCTGAACACACTAGAAAGCTTCCACATATATGAATTAACTAAGCAAACTTTGACTGATAGTTACAACCCAATTTATGATATCCTAATAAAAGCAAATCAAATGCAAGAAATATAATATATCCCAAAACCGCCTACTTATCTTCTCAGAATACCACCCCCACCCCTACCTGCAACCCCCCCACCTCCTATACCCTACAGGAACCAACCCAACAAACAAGACAATCAGTAGCCATCACAACAAGGAACGTAATAGATCCAACATCAGAGGACGCCGAAGAACAACAAGACCTTCAAAAGTGAAAGTGCAGTCAATGTGATGAGTTGAAGTTTATTTCATGAACTTTTTAACCAAGTGGTAATAATATAACTAGCTACAATGAACTAAATTTTAACTTTTAACATTTGTATTTTTAACTTATTCTTAACTTATATTTTATAAGAAGAACTTGACACATATTATTTGAGTGGGGACCTGAACAGGATACAGGATCAAAATAAGTGGAAAAACGAATGTGATTGCGTGTGATTGTGCAGCTGTGTTCATACACCTGAGGATGACCTCTTGAGGTCGAAACATGTAGTGTGACAGTAAATAAAAATTAACTCTAATATTCAGATTCAGAATCTTTTCAAAATCATAGCTTTGGTAGAAATTATCAGATTAAAAAAATTCACAAAGAACAATTGCAACATTGTGATTTTTAATACAGATGAAACAGATACACAGAATCAATAACATGGAAACAAATTTAAGAAAATTAGAAAATCCATGCATTTAAGTGCCTGCAGTGATTTTCACAGCATTCTTTCCCCTGTAAAACTTCTGGCTAGGGAATTATTTCCTCCAATTTGAACATTACATAGTATGATTTCTTACTTGTACAGATCTGTGAAGAGCAGAGCACATGGATGGAGGTTTGGGATGATCAGCAGAAGGTGCCATATGCTTGCAAAGGAAACCAATGGGTTGGGTATGATAATGTCAAATCTACTCTCTATAAGGTAAGAAATACTCAAATAAACCAGTTCATATATGAACTGAAGCTTCAGCGAAGACGTTTTCAAGAACTAAACTGTTACAGCATACAGATTAATCTCTTCAAAACATTTATTTAGAACTGAGCACATTTCAAGCCATTTGCAGCGGTACATAATGGCCCAGCAGCTCAAAGCCCATCATACTGCAATTGGTTTGTATTGTCCATTATGTGAAGTATAGTGAAAGAAGTCACATATAAGATTTCTTGAGGGATTAGAAGATCTGAACACAGAAGTAAGGAAAGTTTTTAATGGAGGAGATTTAACACTGAGATGACTGATATGGGACCACTGAATTTGAATGTTTAATGGGGTGAAAATTTTACATTGAGGAACATTAATTGGGGGTTCCACAGAATTTGAAGATTTGGTTCAGCACCTTTCTTCAAGAGAGCTGGGTTAATGGCATTGGTGTAGCAACTGGCTATGGGTTGGACGACCGAGGGGTTGGAGTTCGAGTCGTGGGTCAAGAATTTTCTCTTCTCCACGTCATTCAGACGGGCTCTGAGGCCAATCCAGCCTCCTATACAATGGGTACCAGGCACTCTTTCCCTAGGGAAAAATCTAACGTTTTGGAGACAGATGAACTGACTTAATTCCCTCCAAACATTGGACTTCTGCTCAGAATTAAAGTTGTAAATGGGCTGAGAAGACTATCACTTTCACTCACTGTTAAAAGTTTCCCACTTATTCTTGTTGCTGTTCACCTAGTGCCTCTAGGTATGACCTGTTCTAACTCTTCTGGCCTCTGACCAGCTCGGCAAGAAGGCCGATTCCATTTCTGAGATGGGTATTTCTAAGGGCAGATTCATTTATTCCCTAATGACAGGGTGACCATGAAAGTAATGGTCAGCAGAGGGAACCTACAGCTTAGCGTACCTGAACCACAAAGGGCTTTGGCAATCTTTACACTTCTGCAGAATTACCTTCTGGTGAAGGATTCAATCTGAGTTGAAAAACTTGCATTCACATTTGATTGGGATGTTATGTCAGAGGTCTCTGATTATGAATGCAGTGTATTACCCCCCTCCCTCCCGTGATTATCAGGGTTTCTACTTCAAGCCCCCCCACCTTCCCCCACAACAAAATCAGTATAATTGCAACCAATTAGCTTCCAAAATGACATGCATATTAAATATGCCCAGCACCTTATTTATTAAAAAAAATGCTAGTTACACTTGGTTTTTAGCCTCAAGGCTGAAACATATAACCTGCAGATGTGTGACTTTTGGTAGGTTTGCCCATATACACCCACTGTTTGACACTATGCCTACCAGCAAAAAATGAAGCACTGAGTAAACCTCAAACAAAGCATAATGCCCAATATAATATGGTATAGTGAATCATCAGTCATCTCAGATCTTCAGGGCATCAGTTCAAGGGCTGTACAAGGTTTGTCTATTCCAAATCCCAAACCTAACATGCAAGGTAAAAGTTACTAAGTGCTCAGAAATTCATCTTTTGATATACAAACTGTCCTAAAGAAGTATATTGATATTATAATTTACTAGAAACATGTAAGATTTTAGGTTTTCATGGCGGTGACTATGAAGAAAGCAGCCTTCTGGGATATGGCACCGTGTAGATGTTGTGTTAACCGATGTTTCGGAGGAACGTATCGCTTCCATCTTAAGGTAGAAGGAAAAATAAGAAATCCACAAGCGAAGAGACCGTGAGAACTGGTACAAGCAGACTGTNTGTACCGGTTCTCACGGTCTCTTCGCTTGCGGTTTTCTTATTTTTCCTTCTACCCTGAAGATGGAAGCGATGCGTTCCTCCGAAACGTCGGTTAACACCACATCTACACGGTGCCACATCCCAGAAGACTGCTTTCTACGAGAAACATAATTTTCTTCTTAGTCTATTTGCTGAACATGAATAGACAAGACAACATGTAGCAGGCAGACTACTGGGCAGCAAAAAGCTGTCTGTAGTACAGTATCAAGGGGTAGTGACAAGAAAATAGATTTTTAGTAACACAATAAAAGACAGACACCCCATTTTAGATTCTATAATTATTGCTTAACTTCAGAATGTTTTCAAAAGGAAGCTTCAACCACGAAATAAGGCATACATAAAACTACATAGCTCAGTTTCTTAAGATTACTCCAAAAGTGGAAAAGTGAAATTTCTTGAATCATGCTACCTGTGTGTGAACACCAATTGTAACACAATGAAATGGGTAAATACGTAGGGAAGTAAAAAATTATCCGCATTCTTGTTACTCCAATTTATATACACAAAAGTAGGGGTTGAACAAGTACGTCATTTTTCTACATAGTCTCCTTCCTTTTTGATGCACTTTGTCCAATGGTTCACAAGCTTGCATATTCCCTCCAAGAAGAAGGTTTTCAGTTGGTCCCGCAACCATGTATGCATCGCTGCCCACACTTCTTTGTCCGTAGCAAATCGACAACCTCATAAAGCATCTTTGAACGGTCCAAAGTGATGATAGTCGGAAGGGGCAAGATCTGGGCTGTAGGCAGGGTGTTCTAGCACCTCGAAACCCAAATGGTTAATAGTTTCAACGGTCTGGCCGGCCATGTGTGGGCATGCATTGTCATGCAAGAACAACACTTTCTTTGACAATAGGCCTTGGCGTTTGGTTCGAATTGCTGGCTTCAGATTGTTGACCAGCAAATCACTGTATTTTGCACTGCTGATCGTACACCCTTTTTCCCAGGTAGTCTTCCAGTATAGGCCCTTTTGAGTCCCAAAAATCGATTAGCATCACCTTTCCCGTGGAAGATTGAGTCTTCTATTTCTGTCCGGCCACTTTTAAACTTCTCGATCCACTCATACACACTTCTATGCGGTAGAGCACTATCTCTGTATTGTGTTGAAAGCCTCCGATGAATTTCAGCCCCCGACACACCTTCCAACCAGAGAAATTGGATCGCGGTTCTTTGTTTCTCCATGGTGCACAATGATAGCGGAGTGGCCATGTTTACATTGTCATAGCATCAAGGAAAATTACACGATCAAGGTCAAACTTCGATCACATGACCATAGTAGTACCAACTCTAAGTATGCATGCGCAGAAGGCAGTGTGACAAACCTAAAGATATGTTATGGCAAAAGTGCGGATAATTTCTGACTTTCCCTCGAAGTTACTTTTGGTCAACTCTGAGCAAAAAATAAATGTTCAGCTTCTTTTTCTTTTATATATGTATATATAAAATAATGCATTTACCGATTTTGGTTTATTAATTGACCTAAAATTTGCTGCAAACTGCATAGCTGTCAAAACATTAAGTGAATCAAATGTTAGCTAACTTTACCTAACTTCTGGCAGTGAGCGATATGTCGTCTAGGGCAGATGTAATGATTAGTTTACCATGGCTTTGATCTTACGAAAACAGAAGTGGGATTTCTCCCACTATGGATCTGTTAAGCCATGAATCAATCTGCCCAGAGCAATTCTGTGAAAACCGGACCAACAGTTTACTGCAATGTTATGTGCATTCAATAAAATCTGAGAATACAACTTCTGACATTTTGGTGCTTTTGAAAGATAACACTGCCTTCTAAGTATTATATAAATATTGTCGCGTATCGGGCGTATATCGCGACAAATAAGTTCA